AAACAGCTCAGGCTGCCAAGTGGCAGGAGGTAGGAGCCAAATGAAATGGTGATGGCAGAGGAGGGGACAGAGGGCTGTGAGTAATTGGAAGGCAACATGTGCTTGTAGACTCTTTGATCTTATTCTGCTACTGAACCACTTGATTCCTTTTTTTTTTTTTCTCTCCACTCAAGAGACCTTTAGGCAATCACAGTGGCTCACTAGCTCCTGCTGACATATGGACATCTCACTTTGCTTGTTTGGTGCCAGGAAGAATTACCATTAGTTGCTAAACATAATGAGGCCCATTACGGAGGCTTTTGTGTGTACTTCCCATGCTGTTGCGCCCAGGGTAGGATAAGGGTTGTGCCAGAGAAGGGAAGATTCAAGTCAGGTAAAGATTTCTTTTTCTTTCTTTTTTGGAGTGAGGGTCATTTGGTGCACACACAGCTGCCTCGGTGCTTAGGGATCACTCTTGGAGGTGCTCAGGAGACCATATGCTGGGGATTGAACCCAATCATCTGCAAAGTTAGGTGCCTTACTCATTGTACAATCTCCAGCCTCCAAGATAACTTCTTTTCTGGTTCCAAATTCCATGGGTCAATTAAGTCATTTTTACTTTTCTGAGCAATTCCTTGTTGTGTGGGTATGATTCAGTTCACAGGTATTTAGATTACTTTTATTTGGGGGCCATATCTAGCTGTGCTCAGGGATCACTCTGGCGGGGCTGATGGAGGTAGCAACATGTGGTGCTGGGGATGGAATCTGCATTGGCACCACATCCCCGGCACCACATATGGAAGATACTTACCTGTACTATCATCTGTCCCTCAAAAGGTATTTACTGAGATCTGTTATGTGTCTGATTATTTTAGGTTCTGAACAAGAAATGCACTGTGGTCCTCATGGAATTTACATTATGATGGAAAGACATAATTTATATACAAACAAATAAGTTGGCTTAAGAGTGATAAGATTTATGACTTCATAGAATGATGTGATAAAGTAACAAATGTTTATGCCATCTGAGAGAGGGACTTTAGGACTAAGTGAGAAAACTGCCAAGTTATTTGAAGTTAATTTTCATGCAGAAGGAATAGCAAAGCACAGGTTTTAAAATTGTATGTTTGAGGAAAGGAAAATAATAACTGGGACAGAGAGAGCAAAGGGGCAGAGAGTAGCTGCTGAAGTAAGATGACAGGTCATAAATGAGAGGCCGTGGGTTTGAGATTTCACTAAAAACAGAGTTCTAATTAGTAGCTTCTCTTAGAAATTAAGAAATATTTGGCCATGGAAGGTCACTAATCCAGAATAGTGATTTCCACATATAGTAATTTAGCTTTCCTTCCTTTTCCCACACTCTCTTAACAGGACTAGTTAGTTCAGATGTAGACATTTAAATAAGTAAATGTGTATCAGAGATAGTACTGCAATAGGGTGCTTGCCTTGCACGCAGCTGACCCAGGTTCAATCCCTGGCATAAGGATAACCCCTTATCCTTATGTATAAGGTCCCACAAACCCTGTCAGGAATGATCCCTGAGCACCACTGGGTGTTACCCCCAGACCGCCTCCTCCCACAAATTAGCAACTGCTGAGACCCAAATAGGCTTAATAAGGAATTGGATTTCCTCCACCCCACCTCCCACCTTCGTGATGGAGGTGATGGAGCATACAGTGAAGAATTTTTTAATTTAGTTTTTTTGAGCCATATCCAGCAATGCTCAGGGGCCTACTCCTGAAGGTGTAGCAACATGTATCTGGCACTACTTAAACCCTTTATATATTTTTTTGGGTCATATCTGCAGATTTTGGGGACCACACAATACTTGGGGGTAGCTCTCAGTGGTGCTTGGGGACCAATGTTGTGTTTGGGGATCAGAGGTCCCTTGCATACATGTGTTCACTCTCTAGTTCCTTAGGGTTTTTAACGGTGTAATAATTAAGGACTTACAAGAATTTCCTTAAGGATATTCAAATGTTCCTTAACATGGCACTATAAGACCTTCTATAATGGTAGGAATCAACAGTATATAATTCCTAGTATCAAGAATGAACACTCTGCTCTAAATAGATTTGCTCACAACCTTCTGAACTTTTTTTAACCTTTCTTTTAAAACCTGTACTATCCTTTATACAGTGATATGTCTTGAGTGCTTGAAGTAAGGCCAGTTCAAATGAAAGTGTTACATACACCCAGATTTCAAAAATGCAGTGTTTCATTACTATCTAAATATTAATTACATAGTGAAGCACTGGTACATTTAGTTTAGATTTTGGGCCACACCCAGCAAAGCTCAGGGGTTACTCCTGACTGGGTTAAGGAATTACACCTGGTAGTGCTTGACCACATGGGATGCTGGGGACCAAGCCTGGGTCAACCATGTACAAGGCAAATGCCCTACTATCTCTCCAGTCTGATATTTTGGGTTAAAGCTAATTTTTCATGTAGCTACTAGTCATTTTTATGTGATTTGCTTTGGGGGCTATACCAAGTGCTACTCTGCGCTCAGGAATCACTCCTGGAGGGCTGGAGTGATAGCACAGTGGTAGGGCATTTGCCTTGCACACAGCCAACATGGCCAACCTGAATTCGATTCCTTCGCCCCTCTCGGAGAGCCCAGCAAGCTACCGAGAGTATCGAGGCTGCACGGCAGAGCCTGGCAAGCTACCCGTGATGTATTCAATATGTCAAAACACAGTAACAACAAAGTCTCCAATGGAGATGTTACTGGGCCCGCTTGAGCAAATCGATGAATGGGAGGACACAGGTGCTGGAAGACTATCTATGATACTGGGGTTCAAACCGGGGTTGGCTGTGTGCAAGTGCCTTAACCCATGAACTATCTCTCCAACCCTTGCATTATATTTTTAATGAACTGCACTCCTTGAGATCATTTGCCCAGCTTCTGGGTCAGTGTGAAACTGGGCCCACTTTCAAGCACACCTTTCTTCGTACCTAATCACATTCTAAGACAAGTGACAAATGATAGAAAATGGAGTAAAGTTTTATACATATGAGGGAGCAATGCCTTTGAATTACCAAACTAAAATCACTCTCTAAATGGTATCCAACTCAAGGACAGATTTTTGTGTCAAAGACATACTTTATGACAATGGGCAACTGCTCAATAAGCACTGCAGTTCTTTGAGGCACCCATACTAAAAAACCCTGTTTTCCTGTGACATTCCTTAAATTTGTCTAAATCCATACTTACGTTACCCTGCCTTAGTAAAATCTAGTTTCCAATTATTCCCTTCCTACACCCTCCTCGTGTTTTACAATTCTATATACATCAACGTAATCTTTTGCAGATAGAAATCATTAATCTACTGTTTAAGCCTCTTTGTACCTTCTCGTTTCTATTTTATGAAAGCTGGGCTTTTGAAGGGCTGGAGAGCTAATACAGTGGGTTAGGTTCTTCCCTAGCATGAAGCTGACTCTTGTCAGTTCCTTGAACACAAGGAATAAATCCTGTGCACAGCCAAGTATGGCCCACCCCTCCAATCCCCACATAAACACTGAAACCATAAACTTTTCATAATACACACAAAACAATGTCAGGCCTATAGTATAGTCACTATGTAAATTCCAGCTATTATTACTACCCCTCACCTTTTTTGCGGGGGAGGTAAAAGCATACCTGGCAGTGCTCAGGGCTCACTCTGGGGAAACATATGGAGATTGAACCCAGGTGCTTGCATCAAGGCAAATGCCCTACCCACTGTACTATCACTTGAGCTCCTGCTTGTGTGTGGGCACACCCAGTGGTTCTGGTTGGTGGCTCTTTCCTGCAGTGCTCAAGAACCAAGCAATGCCAAGATGGAGCCCCCAGTTTCTGCATACTTTTTTTTCTTTTTGGGTCACACCCGATGGTGCATAGGGAGTTACTCCTGGCTCATGCACTCAGGAATTACTCCTGGCGGTGCTCGGGGGACCATACGTGATGCCGGGAATCAAACCTGGGTTGGTTGCATGCAAGGCAAACGCCCTACCTGCTGTGCTATCACTCCAGCCCCTCTGCACACCCTTTGATCCACCTTCCTGCTCCCTACCACTGCTCACTTTTTAATGTTGTATGCATTTCTATTCCAGGACACTGATAATTCCTTTATCCTGTTTGAATATCTATTTCCAAAGGGAGGAGTGGTTTAAACTACCAATAGCAAATGTTACTGGATGAACAACTTACATATCCTTCCCGTAAGAGGTAGAACCTGAAACTATTAACACTAATTTACCATAGGATTTAATAACATTTAAGTCTGCATGGTAAGTCAAAGGTAGTATATCTTTTATACAAGAGATAGTAAACTTGTGGATATTAAAGAAAGAAGTTTGTAGGGGGCTGCAAGGGGCTCTACATACTGTAGAGTGGGTAAGGCACTTGTCTTGTATGGGGCCACCCCAGTTCGATTCCCAGCATCCCCTATGGTCTCCTGGAGTGATTCCTGAGTGCAGAGACAGGAGTAACCCCTGAGCAACGCCTGGTGTGCCCTCCTGACCCCCCAAAGGAAAAAAGCAAAAAGAAGTGTGTAAAAATATAATGAGTTCCAGATTTAGGGCAGAAATACTCCAACTCTGGCAGATAAATAGAATAAACCGAGAGGTTTTCAAAAACACAAGACACCCAGGCCACACCAGACTTATCAAATCTTTCTAATGGCAGGGCTTGGGCACAATTAAAAAAAAAAAGTTAAGGCTTCAGATGTGATTCAGGTGCGTTTCTGCATTTTTAAGAAAAGCGTTGGAGATTATTTTCACCTTCGCTTGCACCTAAGCATCACTGGTTAATTACGAGAAACTTTGGGCTAAGGAAACTGGTCATGTTTGGTATAGTCATGCGCACGTTTTTAAAACAGAAAACCCAAATTAGAGAATTAGTTCAGAGTGAGTTGTACCTCTGAGAAGTGTTCTTAAAAAACAACAAAAAAATACCACAACACCATTACCAATCCCTCCCCCACAACCAAATTCTCTTGGGTTTAATTTACCGATTTCATGAAAGGAAGTCATAGATATCTCAAATAGCACATTTTGTATTCAACCAAAAGTTTGTCTGCCAGCCTGGTTATAAATTTCAAAAAAGTGCTTAGGTAAATATATACTGAACTTTGTACAATATTTACAGCTTGCACAAACCACAAGTCTATACTATACATGTCAAGTAAAGGTGTGTAAATAAAAGTTGGCCTTTCAGCACCTAACACTCAGGTTTCCAAAGCAGTACCTCCCGAAATTCTCAAGTTCACAGTTTAAGTGACCAGACCCCTAGGCAAGAGCGAGCAGTAGAATTAGACACTTTGTATACAGCTGGAGGGTTAGAGCGGTGGGTCTCTCGGCTGCTATAACAAAGCCCCTTTCACCCTCCAGTCCTGAGACAGCAGGTCCTGCAGTTCTCCCTCGTCGTCGCTGTCCACATTCTCCTCTTCCTTCTTCTGCAGCTCCTTGATGGTGAAGACCTCCTTGAGTCTGCTTTTGATTTCATCCTGCCGGTTCCGCAGCTTCTCCACCCGACGGTAACACTCGATCTGCTCGTCGATCTCCCCAATCTGGCGGTCCAAACGTCCCTCCTCATCCTCCTCGGCGACGATGGCCTCGGAAATGGTGTTGACCTGCCTCATGGCCTTCTGAAACTCGTCCCACTCCTTGTCCATCTGATCCTTGGGGGCGTCGACCTTGCGCACCCGCGCGTCGACCTCCGGGTCGTCGAAGAAGCCCTCGGGGAGCGCTTCCGCCGTGTTTTCTCGCCTTTCCACCACCCTCTCGTGGATCTCGGCTTTCTCAATGGACCCCGAGTGGGGGATGATGGCAAGGGCCTTGGGGGGATGGGCATCCGGGAACGGGCCCGGCGGGGTGCCCGTCGCCGCGGAGGGGAGCGCGTGCTCCTTGCCCGGCGCGTCCGCCGGCAGCTTGCTCCCGTCCCCCCTTTTCCCTTCTCCTCCCTTCGCCTTTGCCTCCTCCTCCTCCTCTTCCTCCTCCTCGTCGTAGTCGGGGAGCAGGCCGAGTCCTGAAGGAGGCTTACCAGGGCCGGCTCTCTCCTTCCCGGCTTTGTCCGAGGGGGCCGAGAGGGCGGAGGTGGAGGGCTGCGGCTGGGGTCCCGGGGTGGCCTTCGGTCTTTTGCTCTCGCGGGGCTCGGCGTCCGGCGACTTCCTCTTGGCTGCCGGGGCGGCTTCCTTGGCCCCTTTCAGCTCGGCCACCTTCTCTCGGTGCTGCTTTCCCAGGACGTGCGTCTGCCACAGGAGCTCGTTCTTCACCGGGGCGTTGCACAGGGAGCAGCTCAGCTGCCCCAAACGGTTGTACTTGGCGAAAGGCGACGCGATCTGCTTCCGGTTGGTGCTCAGACGCTGCTTCTCCTTCATCAGCCGCCGCAGCTCGTCCTGGTTCACCACTCGCTTCCCCGCCGAAGGGCGAGCCGAGGCGGACGACGCCATCTTGGCGGCCCGACCCGCCGCGACTCTCGCGGCCTCCCCCGGCGCGGCCCGATGGCGTCACTTCCTGTCCCGGCGAGGATTGGCCGAGGCGCTGGCGCGGGGCTGCGGCGCGGGACTTTCCGTGCACGCCGAGGCTGCTGCAGGCTGTGCCGCTCGGCCGCTCTCGCCTCCCTAACGCCCATGGCTGCGATTAAAGCGGCAAACTCCAAGGCGGAGGTGGCCCGGGCGCAGGCGGCTCTGGCCGTCAATATCTGCGCCGCCCGCGGGCTGCAGAATGTGCTGCGTACCAACCTGGGGCCCAAGGGCACCATGAAAATGTGAGACGGCGGTTGGAGCGGCAGTTAGGGCGCCGCGGCGGGGGCTGGGGGTGGCGGGGCGCGCCAGCGATCGCAAGTTCTGCAAGAGACGGCAGCGAGGTGGACGCACCCGGGCTCGGTGCCTCCCCCTGGCTCTTCCCAGCCAGGTTGGGGAGGAGGAAAGCCTACCCGGGAAAGAGCCTCCAGATTGAAATTGGCACTCCACAAGACCCCCAGTTCGTGGTCCCTCTCATTTCCTTAAGATTGCACATGCAATTAGAAAACCCACTTAGGGTCTCCTTCGAGAGACGGACCATTTCATGCTAGTGCTCTTTGGGACCACGAGTGCCCTTAATTCTATTTTTTTTTTTTTTGATTAGTGTGTTGTAGAGTATACCTAGAGCCTCAGGGTTCAAATTCAACCTAGTGGGTGTCTTGGCAAGTTACACAAACTTTATGCCTGCGGTTCAGTCTTTTTCTTTCATATATATACATATATATATATATTTCGTTAGTATGATCATTCCCTTTACAAGAGTGAAGGCAAGAGACAAGTGAGGACAAAAGTTTATCAAGTAGATACAGTCGTTGGAGCAAAATTAATATTTATGGTAAGAGAGGGCACTTGTGATTATACTGAGAAAAGGGACTAATTACTGATGGGAGAAGGAAAGGATAACTTATCAGATAATTATATATATATCTATATATATATATATATATATATATATTGCAGTCAAACCCAGGGCCGCCTCATGTATGCAAGGCTAGCACTCTACTGCAGAGCTTGGGCTAATAATAGTCTTGAAAGGCAGGGCCAGTTCACTGAAAGTTTCTAGAAGGCCTTTCTAGAAGGCTTACAAGAAAGAGTAACTTCAAGACTTGAGAAAGTCCAATCGTGTAAATCCAACAAAAACAAAAGCCAACACGGTTTATTAAGAGGGCAACAACAGGGTTTGTCCCCACAATCTCATTTGATAAAGCAGAAAAAATAGACATTAAGCCACATTGGGAAACCAGTTTGAATTTTACCTTGAAGGTGATGGAGAATGTGATCAGGGAATTTTGATCAGGGAAGCTGAGGCAAGTTGCCTTTTAGATAAGTGGGAGTGTGGAAGATACAAAAGGATGGTGTGTGTGTGTGTGTGTGTGTGTGTGTGTGTGTGTGTGTTTCAGCATTCTATAATACATTCCCTCTTTATTTTTGTTGTTTTGGGGCCATACCCTGCGGTGCTCAGGGCTACTCCTGGCTCAGTGCTCAAGGATCACTCCTGACAGGGCTTGGGGACCATAAAGGATGCTGGGAGTAAAACCTGGTGGACACATGCCAGGCCCTACCCACTGTGATATTGCTGCAGCCCCATTCCTTAAGAGGAAAAGATACTTATATGGTGAATTTCTTTTCATATAGTTACCTTTAGTCAAACCAAGGCCATTTCCAAAGATAATGAGTTCATTCCGTGTAGGTTCCTCAGAAATTCAAGCCAAAATGCCAGATTAGAGATTATGATGGATATTGGGAAAAGGAGAGGAAAGAGTGATAACATTTCACACACACACACATCCTGTAGGAAGTTTATACATTTGTGGTTTGTAGATTTTAAGTCACTCTCCTTTGACCAAACAACTGTTTATAACCTATCAATTGCTCTTATCCTTAATCTTCTAGATATTCCTTTTAGAACGAAATTGCTATAGCAGTCCGTTTGGGAAGAAGTGATTCTATGGACTGCAAATTTTGGCAATTACTGTGCTATCTACCCCTGGAGGTTTTCCTAGCCTAGGTCCCTAGATTCAGGGTAGAGGAATGTTGAACACGGGACTGTCAAGCATCCCTCTTGCTTGACTCTTGTCATATGAAGTTAATAACATCACTTTTTCGGAACAGGCTTGTTTCTGGTGCAGGTGACATTAAACTCACCAAAGATGGCAATGTGCTGCTTCATGAGATGGTGAGCAGATACTGAATAGCTGTTTATACCAAACATTAGTAAGCCTCTGCTAAAAACATAGTATGCTTGTAGACTGTACCTTTAAGTAAGGTTGTCAGTTAAATATAGTCATTGAGATAAGGTTTATGGATTAACTCTCACCAAAATTTTTTTGCCTGTTTTTTCCTTCTCTTCCTTCTCCTCCTCTTCCTCTTTCTCCCCCTGTCTTCTCTTTCTCCTCTTCCTTCTCCTTCTCCTCCTTCTCCATCTCCTTCTCCTTTTGATTTTGGGGACTATATGCCATCCTGGGGATTAAACCCAGGTCACCTGCATGCAAGGCAAAAGTGTCTTACCCATTGTACTCTTCCTCCTGGCCCTTATTTGTTTTTAAATTTTTGCAGGGACATTACTAAATTATATCTTTTAACTGCATTACAGTCTTTGTAATCATGGAAAAATAGAAACTCCTCAGCAATTTTGGTAAATATATTAATCTTTAAGATGGAAGGATTTAATCTTATTTTGGAAATGTCATTGCATTTGGAAGCAACAACTCTCTTATAGGCTGTTCAAACCTCATTAGTTCTCAATTTTTAAATTTTGGTCTTGACATTTAAAAGGATTGATAAAACATGTGAACTTGTGGAATGATGCTTATTTCATTTCTTGCTTTTTCTGATTGACCCTTAGGTTATCTTGTCTTTAGTGAACTACTTCTTTATCTCATTCTCTCTCTCTTTAATCTGTTCCTTACTTTCCCCAGCAAATACAGCACCCAACAGCTTCCTTGATAGCCAAAGTAGCAACAGCTCAAGATGACATTACAGGAGATGGTACTACTTCAAATGTTCTAATTATTGGAGAGTTACTAAAACAAGCCGATATTTATATTTCTGAGGTATTATTAAGATTTCATAGAATTAATGTTCATTTTGTTCTTTGTTTGGAAGGAATTTTTTTACTAGTAAAATGGTTTGATTTTAAGGGGGCAAAAATTAATTTTATTAAGATCTAGTTTGACATTTATAAGTGGAAATACTAAATTGATTTTTTAAAGTTTATTTTTTGGGCCATACCTACTGGTGCTCAGGGGTATTCCTGGCTCTGCACTCAGGAATCACTCCTGGTAGTGCTTGGGGAACCATATGGGATGCTGGGGGATTGAACCCAGGTCATTGGCATGCAAGGCAAGCTTCTTACCCACTGTACTGCCACATCTGCACTGCACTGTACTGCACTGTCCTCCCATTGTTGAATCGATTTGCTCAAGCGGGCCCAGTAATATCTCTGTTGTGAGACTTGTTACTGTGTTTGGCATATCGAATATGTCACGGGTAGCTTGCCAGGCTTTGCCATGCAGGTGAGATACTCTTGGTAGCTTGCCGGGCTCTCCGAGAGGGGCGGAGGAATCGAACTCAGGTTGGCCAAGTTGGCCACGTGCAAGGCAAAAATTCTACCCACTGTGCTATCGCTCCAGCCCACTGCCACATCACACCCACTAATTTAATTTTTTGCCAAAATAAGTGCTTTTTATTGGAGTTACATATTGTTTAAAAAAATGAAATGATATATACAAAAAATCATGATCCAGTGGGCAATTGCATAAGTAAACAATTGAAATCACAATACACATTTTTTTTTTGGTGGAATATTTGGGTTATACCTAGTGGAGTTCAAGAGCTACTCCTGGGGCTGGAGCAATAGCACAGTGGATAGGGCGTTTGTCTTGCATGCAGCTGACCCGGGTTCAATTCCCAGCACCCCATATGGTTCCCTGAGCACCACCATGGGTAATTCCTGAGTGCAGAGCCAGGAGTAACCCCTGTGCATCGCTGGGTGTGATCCAACTGTGTCCTCTCTGCAGCCTCCATATTATGTACCTTCAAAAAACAACTGAGTGCTGGAGAGATAGTACAGCAGGCAAAGCTCTTGCTTTGCAATTGACTGACCTGACTTTGATCCATACCACCTGAGGCCTGCCAGAAATAACCTTTGAGCACAATGACAAGAGTAATCCCTGAGCATTGCTGGATGTGGCGAGGAAAAAAAATCCAGAAACCAAACAAACATAACAAACCAAAAAGACAACTGGGGTCTGGGGAGATGTCTCAGAGGGTTACATCCCATGCTTTGAATGTGAGAATCCCAGGTTCAATTCAGGCAGTATGGTCCCTGAGCACCACCCAAAGTATTCCATGAGCACTGAGCTGGGAGTAGTCCTGAACATGGTTGGGTAGTGGCCCTATGAAAAGAACAAGCAACCTCTAAAAAATAATTGGATCCGTGGTGGTGGGAAATAGGCACTGGTGGAGGGATGGGTATTTGATCATTGTATAATTGAAACCCAAGCACAAAAATGTGTAAGTCTGCAACTGTACCTCATGATGTCTCACTATTAAAAATTAAAAAAAATAATTGGAAAAGATTTAGTAAATATGTTCCATATTGCAAATTTACCTACCTTTCTCATTTTACATTCTTTATAAACAGCTGTTGCTGGAATTCTTGCTTCACTAGCCTCTTCCGTCATTGTACACACTTCTACCTCCACACCTTTATTTAATTTCTTGGCATCACTCACCGGGCTTGTCTCATTATTTGAATTTTCCCACCATTTAATCAAGGACCGTTTAAGCTGGTCAGAATGCTAAAATTAATTTTCCTGTGCTTCGTTTAGTATTGGAAGTTGTCTATTAATTCATTACCTGCAACTTATCTCAGTATGCTTCGGGCTGTTAACAATAGGCTCATGGCTAAAATTCACTTTAAGCAATAAATATATTACT